TTCACCACCGAGGTTACTCAAATCTGCTTTCGTTTTGTCTTTCTTTACCCTATACGACTTAGAGCAGGTCTCTGGACCACAGCCTCACAAGAAGGCTCACTGAGGGACCTAGAAGGCCATGGCCAGCTTCCTAATTAGCCTGCACAGCAGATAAATGCCCCGGTGATGATGCTGGAGCCCAAGCAGGCAGGCCACGCTGCCTGTGGGGAAGGGAAGTCCGGGCGTGTTGTGAAGTCTTTCCTTGGGACGGTTATAAATAGTGTGATGACCCACAGAGGGGAAGCATATATAAAAGTTAGCTGTCCCCTCTGTGGATTACAAATGCTTGACTCATGGCAGACTGTCCACAAGGTTATAAATAAAGTTGCCACCACCCTGGATAGGAGAAGGGCCTCGTTTTCACCGCCCCAGAGCCACACTTGCCCTCCCTGGGCCCAAGACTCTCAGTGTGACCTGTGAAGATAAAACATGTGCCTGGGGGCCCTTGGCACCTGGCTCCCAGGCTCCTGCCTGTAGCCAATGGCTTGTGAAGAGTTTCCTGCCTTCTGCCACCCTGTCCCGTGGGCCATCCCACAGAGAGGGCCCAGGAATAGGGGTCTGCCCTTTCCTTGCTCTCACCACGTGCCCGGCAAGTACCTTGAGGCATCTCCTCCCAAATGTCCAAACGTTCCTGACAGCCGCCCACCTACCCTACATTAGCTCCTGGGCTGGCAGGAGGCGAGGCCGTTCACCCAGCCAAGCCCCGCTGCTGCTCTACCTTCTGCAGCCAAGACCTCTGAGCGGGAGGACAGGGATCAAAGGAGCTGGGACCAGGCTGGAGGCTGGAAGGGACTCACTGACCTCTATGAGCTGTCCCTAAGGGACCCCATTCCTCTTTGAAGAGTGAGTGGCTGGGGGACCACGCTCCCTGGCCATGCAGAGAAGCCAGTCCTTTCCAGGGCAGCTTCCCATAAGGTGGTCTGAAAATAGAAGAGTAACTAGAGATGAGAAAGGAAGCCACGCATGGGATAGAGAGGACAGCCAGGTAGGACCATCACCCCAGCTCCTCTGCCCGTACCCTGGGTGACCCCAGCAACAAGGCCAGCCAGGGGGAGCAGGCAGAGCAGGGGGCCAGAAGTTGGTGGGACAGGCGGGAGGGCAGAGAGCAGAGAACCCGCTCTGTCTGGGGAGTGAAGCTCGGACGGACCGTGAGAACAGGGATGGGAAAGTGCTTCCAGGCCCAGCACCCCCCAGCCTCCTCTGAGATGACTCCACACCCTGAGGCCTCTGAGCAACACTGTCCACCCTTGACTGGCCATCTGGACAGACTGAAGAGAGGTACCAGCTCAGCAGCCAGCGGGACAGCAGGGTGGGGTCCAGGAGTCCACAGCCTGGAGAGGACAAGGAGGACCGACAGGGCCCAGCCCCAGCTCTCTCCCCATCCGCCGGGGAGAACACAGCAGGCAGGGTAAGGCAACGGAGAGGGTGTGCCTCAAACCAGCTCTGGGAGAAAATAAAGAATGCCAAGAAGGACCCTAAGTCCCCACTGCCCCACTCCCAACTAGCACCAACACAGTAGAGACAATGTCACTAAGATTTCTCAACAAGCTCCCTCGACCTGGCCACGTCAGGATGTCTTAACCCTCAGAGTAAGCTCAGCTATTAGAAACACACGGACAAACCTGGAGTCCTCATTCGGTTCAGGGTGAGTCCGGAACCTCCAGGAGCCTGCTGGGGCCATCTCTGGCCCTTCCCTGCAGCAAGGCCTCACGGCCCTGGTTTGAGAGTGAGCAGCTCTCCTGCCACCTGAGCCCCCCTTAGCTCATCTTCCTGCCCGTCACCACGTACAGCTCGTGAAGGGGAAGCCAGGATGGCTCTGCCCCAGTTTCTTACCTCCTCTCGCTGGCTTCCTTTTGCATTAACTTTGGATGTGCTCAGGGACATGCTGTGTTCCTCTCAAGAGAGCCAGCCAGGCCTCGTGGTGAATTCCTTCCCTGGCAATAGATGCCAGTCAAAGGCAGGCAAACAGGCAGGCCACGGCTCCGTGGGAAATGGCAGAGAACTTTGGAAAGCAGCAGCTCAGGCACAAGGTTAGCAGTCTTCCATCACGGCAGGGGGGTAGAGGGAAGTGTGTCCCTCTCCCCACCACGCCTTTGAGTGGGAGCTGCCACCATTCGTGCAGAATGACCCAGTCTGACTGGGGGGCCTGCAGTCACCAGTCCCTCCTCCTGCTTCCAGACACGGAAAGCTCCCCAGCAAAAGATACCATCACCCATCCCACCCCGGGTCTGCTAGTGACTCTGAGTGCTTGCAGTTGGTGGTTCTTCATTCTCACCCGAACCCTCCTGTTTTCTCCACAAAGCAGGGAATAGACCCTCACCACCACAGGGCCGTGAGGAGGAATGGCTGCCCCTCTCAGAACCTGTCCCTCCGAGATACGACTTCTCCCTCCATCAGTAAGTCTTAGTTCCCAGTCTGTTCAGGCCCCAACTGCTGTGGGAGACTGAGATGGGTAACAGGAAAAAGACATTTCTTTTTCTCTCCCCAGTGTCATCATTACCAACAACAACAATAGTCCTGTTTATTAGTCCAGCTCACTTCTCGCCACTTGCTGACTGGGGACACAGGCTCACAGAAACTACATGGCTTGTGCAAGACCACACAGCTGGGAGTGGCAGAGCCGGAATTCAAACTTCAGTCTGATTCTTTGAAATGCTCCCATTTGCCTCCAGCAGAGAGGGCTAGCTCCCTTCCTCCCTCCTGGATCCACAGGGTCTGACACAGAAGACACGCAGACGGTGCTTGTTTCTGAATGACTCGGAGTGTGGATGGACAGGCAGCAGGGCTCACGAGCGGGAGAGCAGGTTACAGTGAGTCCTGCTGATCCCACCCAGTACCAACCGCGAGGCACAGGAAGGAGCCGCCTCACCAGCGGAGGCCCACAGGACCTTCCCAGGTGCTGCCCCGCCCGAGCTGCCATCAGCCAGAGGGTCAGCGATTTAGAAACGGGGACGCCTGGCCCCTTGGATCACTTCACCCGTCCTTCACACTGGAGCCTGCTTTCTCTCACTCTCCCTGAACGTCACCTGCTCCAGCCCCTTCCTCCCTGGCAGCAGCCCCCCCACTGCAAGAAGATGAATGTGCGCAGACCAGTGCACTGGGAGCTGTCTCTAGGAAGAGCTCTGACCATGGGGCTCACTGAAAGAGGAGACGCTGTCTCACCCCTTCCCCTCACACCCAGCACTTGGGCCATCAGCACTTCCCAGCAGGAGCCCCTGTGCTGAGGGCGGCGGCCCCTCTCCCTGTGTGCCCAGAGCGAGAAGCGGTTCTGAGAAGGCGTGAGCAGAAGGACCTGCGGCCTCAGAGGCTCATTACTGGGGATGACTAAGTGAGCCGTGCTTCCAGGGGAAGCCCCACTCGCGTCTGCACGCTTGAGGGGTTCGAATCCTTGAGCCGTTTCGACGAAGGCTGCTTCCAGGAGCTGCTCCGCCCAGCAGCCCCCTTTGAGCAGCCTTTTCCTAGCAGAACCCCCACCTGGAAGTCCCGGCCCTGGCTAAGAGGTCATCTGACAGGTCCGCCCCAGCCGCTTCCAGAACCACCGAGTTTGCCCATCCCCTGTTAGAACTCGAGGCTGGGAACGGGGGAAATCCGATCGGCACCTCCGAGGGTTTAGCGGCTGGATTTCCACAAGGAATGTGACAGTCTCGCGGCAGCTGTGCCCGGCCCGAAACAAGCTCTATTTGAAACCTCCAACAGCTGAGCCCCTCCCAGCTACCGCGGCCGGCCCAGCCACCCCCTGCCCAAAATGACAAATAAGTGAGAAATGCAAGCAACAAGGAAGCACCCATACACACACAGGCAATCACACACGCACACATACACACATCCCAACAAACTGGGGGTGAGGGGTGGATGGGAAAAACCTACTTGTCCCAAGACTCCCCTGGGTCTCCAAGCCTCAGAGCCCACAGCGGGCAGAGCAGGAACAGAAACCCACCTTCCTCAATCCCCACTGCCTCGGAGGACACGATTTCCAAGGCCCCTCTAGGAGGGAACCCCGTCCTCCGCCTTGGGCTGGACTGAGGCGGGAGCAGTGGGGCCAGCTCCCCCGCTACGGCGGGCGCTGCCGGTCTCCATTGGCGCGCGCTCACACACTCGCGCACACACACTCAGCCTTATTTATCCCGAGAGAAGGAGCTGGGGTGGGAGGGGAGAACCGGGCCGAGCTTGGGAGCGGGCTCTAGGGAAGCCGGGGAAGCCTTGCCGTCCCATCCGAAGCAGAGGCCCACCCCCGCCCCCCAGGCTGGTGCCAAGGTGGCGCCCATCTGCTCTACCCGGGGAACACCTGTAGCCATTTTTATCAGGGGATGTTTATGAGGCAGTAGCGGGTTTATTCTGAGTCCTCTTTCCTGAGGGAAAGGACTGCTGACTTCCTCCACCTGTATTTTTACCCCAAGCCCCAGGAGACTCAGGTCACTGGTGCTTTTCTGATTTCGCCTTAAGTCTCTCAAAGACAAGGAGGGAGACAGAAACTTGGGAAGAGAGGGAGCAGACAGAGAGAGAAGAGACCGGCGTGGAATCCCCACCCCCCACCCAGACATTTATTTCTGTTTTATCCTCGGGAAAATGGAGTGGAGGGAGGAGGGCGGAGAGGAGGGGAAGTCACAGGAACCGGCAAGCACATCGAGGCGGAGAGAGTGTCATTAATTGGTGCGTTAAGCTCCTGGGTTATGCTTTAGCATGGGTGAGCCAGGAGGAGAAATGATTTCTCCGAAGGGATTCTTTAACCCTCCCCAACACGGAGTCTCCAAATTAGACACAGTGCAGGGGGGCGTCCCCCACCGAGAAAGAGAGGCATGAATTCTCCCAGGATTAAGAAGGAAAACCATGGGAAGTTCAAGTGTCCAATATAATCGAGTAACCACCTCTCCCCCACCACCACCTCTCTCCCCAATCTCTCTCTCTCTCTGTACCTGTATATTCCTTTTGTTCAAGGTATAAAGAGAAACTGCAACTCCTACCTTTGAGTACAAACCCCAAGAGAGCTCGGTCTCTATCACCATAACAACAATTCCAAACATCCCAAAAATCAGAGCATAGTCACTCAGTCGCTTTCTCTTTTCAAACAGGGCCCTCCTGTGTCCCAGCTTATAGCCAATGTTTTGGTTTTTCCGCTTGTTGGCTTTGGGGAAGGTGGTGCTGCTGGGGGTGGTGCCGGCGTGCTGGTGGTTGTGGGTGGCATTGGGGTGATGGAGCAGAGTCTGGTGGGCATGGTTGTCCTCCCGGGAGGAGATGACGATCTCCGGGGGGTTGCTAGGGCTGAAGAGCTGGAGGGGTTGGCCCTCGGGCTCAGCCTCGATGAGGTTCCTCCGGGAGGCGCTGAGGCGGCTGAGGGGCTTCATGACCCCACCACTGTACTTGCAGGAGCTCATGGCAATCTCTGTGAAGGGGTTGCTGTCCCGCCGGTGCACCAGGGGGCTGGCCTGCCTGTGCCGGCCGCCTCCACCAGGCCCACTTGTGGCTGTGGAACTTGGAGAGTGGCCAAGCAAGTGGTCATTGAGATTGAGCTGGCTGCCTTGCCTGGAGGAAGGGTGGAGGATGGCGGTGGAGTTGGACAAAGGGGGGGCCCTGAAAGCAGTGGGAGAGGAGTGCAGCAGGCCAGGGTGGACGGGCTGGCTCTGGAGTTGGGTGAGCTGAGACAAGGGATGCGGTGGCTGCTGCTGCTGCTGCTGCTGCTGCTGAGGCTGCTGCTGCTGCTGCTGCGGTTGCTGCTGCTGCTGAGGCTGCAACGGGGGTCCTGGGGGCTGCTGGGGGGCTGCTGGTGGTGCTGGCAGTGGTGGTGGCGGTTGCTGCTGCTGCTGTTGCTGCTCATCCCCGGAGGATGGACAGGGACACTTGGGGTCTTCATCCAGGTCCCCCACCCCTGAGTCATGGAAGTGCCCAGAAGTGTCCATCTTGGGGCCTGGCTGGATTCCCTGCAGTGCAACCCCCAACCCCAAAGCCACCCTTGCTCCAGAGATGTCCTCAAAGAGAGCCAGGCATCCAAGCTCCCCACCAGAGTGTCTTGGCTCCAGTCCTCTCTCTGTGGCTTGCTCCGGCTCTGTGGGGCTGTTTGGAGTCCAGACGCGTCCAGTCAAAAATGCATTGTACTGGGCAGGAAGGAAGGGCAGGAGGGGAGCTTGGAGAAAGAACAGGGGAGAAAGAACTGTCTCAGGAGGTGGTCCTCTTGGAGCTTGCGAGGCCAGGCTCAGCTTCACTCCTCGCTGGCTCAATAGCTTTGCTCTCCTCCTCCTGCCACTGTTATATTGCAAGCCCAGCCCACTTATTAGCAGCTGGTCTCATTGGCTTGGCTTAACTCTCCCACCACCTCCTAACTCCGCCCTCCTTATAGGCTCCTCCCTAGAGGAGGGGCCAGCCGCCCTCAGCTTCCAGCCCCGCGACCACAGAAGGAAGACTGGGAACTGTAGTTTCCGCTCCCCACATGAGAGCTAAGCAACTGCCCCCTTCCTCCGACAGGTAGATACCGGAAGCCCACGACTATAAGGGATGTACGCGGCACGCGAGCAGTGGGGAGGAGGAGCAGAGGGTCTCCTAAGGAGGAGAGCTGTGCGCTCTGATGCGAGGGCAGGAATCGAGGAAGACAGTTGTTAATGGCCAAGGTCTACAATAGGTTGTTTCACACATATTATCCAGTTAACATCCTCCAAACACCCAAGGAGGTGGGCATTATGTTCGTCTTACAAGCTGATGCTCAGAGGTGTTGAGCAACAACTACAAGGTAACAGAAGCAGAGGGGATCGACGTCCTCATGAATCCAGGTGGATAAGCTCACCCACTGAAACCCTGCAACTTGCGTGCAGACGCCTCTTGGTTATTTCTAACCCTCACATCAACCCTAAAAAAATGTCATCATTGGCCTTTTACAGACGAAAACAAGGAAGGAAGGAAGGAAGGAAGGAAGGAAGGAAGGAAGGAAGGAAGGAAGGAAGGAAGGAAGGAAGGAAGGAAGGAAGGAAGGAAATCACTGGAGCACAGGTAAGTAATTTACCAGATATTGCCCAGCTTGTAATTAAGGGTGCTAGGACTTGAACCCAGGTCAGTCTGACCCCACACCGCCTGTACCCTCTTCCAGGATGCCTCCCACTACGGTGCTTAGCACAAAGTGGTTGCTCCATAAATGTTGCTGGAATGATGGGTGGGAAAGAGCCAGAGAGAAGCTGCGGAGGAGGAACCAGCCTCCCCAGGACAGGAGGTGTGAAGTGGACCATGGCTCCAGCTGGGCAGAGTCACCAGAGGGTCTGACAGGAAGAATGAAGACCCCCGTGGTCACTCCCCACTTGGTCTGCCCTACGGGGCTCTGAGAGTCAGAGTTGGGAACAGCTGCTGGCTTCCCAGGTTCAGAACCATCATCAAGTATTTATTAAGCTTCCACTGTGTGCAAAGAGGTTCGAAAGAGATGGGACGAGAGCTGAATTCATTTCCATTTCTGTCTGCAGCGGCTCTGCTCCCCCATCACCCCTTGGCCTCTGCCCAGCTCCTCCCTGGACAGGAAAGGAGCAGACATGTACACACAGAGATGCGTGCATGCAGGTGCACACATGTACATGTGTGTGCACACACAGGCCCTCAAACGTGCACTGGCCCACACATGTGGACATGCACACACATGCACGGGAATGCAAACATCTCACGAGTTTCTAAAACAGCTCTCCTGAATGGTGACCAGCAAGTGGCCAGATCGGGAAGGGGCACGGCTCCCATCAGATCAGTCCTACTACTCTCTGTGTACCAGTGTCACCTCTTCAGTCCCCTGCAGCCCTGGTGATAGAGAGGTAAATATTACCTGTAGTATAAGCACAACCCCAGAAACCTGAATAAATTACAATTAGTTACACATAATAATCTTTTTTTAATCCTCACCCAAGGATATGTTTATTGATATTAGAGAAGGAGAGAGAGAAATATCAATGTGAGAGAGAAACATTGAGCGGCTGCCTCATCCTGACCAGGGATGAACCCTCAACCTAGGTATGTGCCCTGACCAGGGATTGAACTTGCAAACTTTTGGTGTATGGGATGATGCTACAACTAACTGACCAGGGCACAGATAACAATCTTGACTATTGTTATTATTGTCAGTGATGTGATCTTCCTTCTCCCCTGTCCCCCACCACTACAATCATAGCACTGGGGCTCAGACACAAGCCTGGGTCCCGTGTCTTTTCCGAGGACCCTGCAGGCCCTCCAGTCCCCATGCACACGCACACTCACGCACACCCTCCAGCGTGCCCTGCCTTTCCTCCCCGTCCCTTAGTCTTCTTGGTCTCCCTCCCTCCATTCCCAGACAGAGTCCCCTGTTTGGTTCAGTGCTCCAGATCACATAGACTTCATTATTTCCCAGTAATTTATCATTATTATGTTGTTAGTAGCAGACATGTGCTGTTAGTGTTGGTTCTGAGTGCCAGTAAGTATCTGGGCTGGGACGGACTCCGGGCCTGGACGTTTCTATGTCCCACCACCATAACCTGTTTCTGCCCCCACTGGCCTTGCTGGGCCAGCCTCTACCTCCAGTTCTTCTGGCTGTGCCAGCTAGACCCCAACGGGGAATGTTAGGGGAAGTCCTGCTATCATGGATGGGGATGGAAAATAGCTGGGGGCAGAAAGAGAGGAACCAAACTATACCAGCGCCAAAGATCAACTGGAAATTCATCTGGAAACGGGCTGGAACTTGACAGCCAGTGCCACTAAGCAGCTCATGCTTAGCGAGAGTCGGCCGTGGTTAGGGCTCTAGAGCTGGACGGCCCAGACTGGAGCCCCTCGCTTCCACGTGATGGCTGTGTGACCACAGGCAGGATCCTCAGCTTCCCACTCTGTGAAATGGGAGCAGGAGGGTCCCAACCTCGAGGGGTTTGGGAGGATTAGATGCAAGTCAGTATGAGTGGGCTCTCCCACAGGCCCATTCATGACGACCTTGAGCCCTCAGTGGAATGCCGGAGCTGGCTGGTACTGGCTCATAAAAGCCAACTGTGCATACCTCTTCTGAATCCCAGACCCAGTGATGTCGTACTGATAGCTTGTCAGATTGATAGCTCGTGTAGAAACACTGGTGGTGGAAGTATTTACACCACAGGAACTGGCAAACACTTCACAGCAGGGTTGATCTTCCCTTTTTTTAAAGATTTTATTTATTTATTTTTAGAGAGAGGGGAAGGGAGGGAGAAAGAGAGAGAGAGAAACATCAATGTGTGGTTGTATCTCGTACACCCCCAACTGGGGGCCTGGCCCGCAACACAGGCATGCGCCCTGACCGGGAATCAAACCAGCAACCCTTTGGTTCACAGGCTGGCACTCAATCCACTGAGCCACACCAGCCAGGGTGGGGTTGACCTTTCTTGGTGAGCTAGTTGTTAAACATTTACTGGCTGTTACACATTTAGCATCACACTCCTGTCCCTTACCCCATGTTGTTATATACAAAGTGTGCGTGTCATCCCCCTCTAACCGCTGCCCACGCACTCCCTCTCTCCTCCCTCTCACCCGCACAGGCTTCACCACTTGATTGCCGGGTGACCTCAGGCAAATTGCTTAACCTCCTTAGCTCCAGTGAGGGAGCACAGATCAAGTACCTTGTCACCTTCAAGTACCTAGTGGATTAGTAAATCCTCTGGGAGCTGCTCAGCCACGGGGCCTGACCATTGCAAGTTTTCCATCCTGCCCGAGAGATGCACTGCTCTCAAGCCCCTGCCAACATTGCTGCAGGTTCCAATCCCCACTGTGGGGAAGTCTCCAGGGCTGCCCCAGCCCCCAGCTAAAACCATGTCTTCAAAACCACCCAGGAGTTGAAGTCATCATCCATTGTATAGATGAGGAAACTGAAACCTTAGGTATATTCAAATACTTGTCCTTAGGCACTAACTAGTAACTGGTAGCACAGTAGAAATCAAACCCAGATCTGTCTGACCTTTTCTGAAATGCAAATCAGTAGGATTCAGTTTTATCGGTGTTTCTTAAACATCGTCATGTGACTCGCATAGTCAGTCCTCAGGAAGTTGTGGTCTCAGGTAGAAACGAGCTGTACTCAGATGGGATGATTAAAAAAACAAACAAAAAACAGAGCCCTGGCTGGTGTGGCTCAGTGGATTGAGCACCAGCCTGCAAACCAAAGGGTTGCTGGTTTGATTCCCAGTCAGGGCACAAGCCTGGGTTGTGGGCCAGACAACAGAGTTCATTAAAGGCAGAGGGTAGTTAATGAAGGCTTCAAGGAGGTGGTGAGATTTCAGCCACACCTTGAAGAATGGGCTCTTCCTTCGCACAAACTAGGCCTATTCAGTCTATAAATTCCCCTATGAGGGGATTTGGTAGTTTCTTATCTCAGAGACAAGGGCATGCTCACCAAACCCAGTGAGGCGAAGGGAGCCCACATCAGCCACACTCGGCCCCGCCCTCCTCCCCCCCCCTCATTCCTCACCACTTCCCTCCTTAAGCTCCAACACCAGCTTCTTGCAGTTCCTGCAGTAAACCGTGCTGTCTCACACCACCCTGCCTTTGCTCATGCTGTTCCTCCGGCTGTCATGCCCCCCCTACACCTTCACTGACACACTTCTCTGCCCATCAGGATGAGGCTGATGGGTTTTCTTTTTTGGGAGGCCTCCCTCAAATTTCCTAAATCCAAATTAGGGGCACTTTCCTGGCTGATGTAGCTCAATGGATTGAGCGCGGGCCTGCGAACCAGAGGATCACAGTTCGATTCCCAGTCAGGGCACATGCCTGGGTTGCAGGCCAGTTCCCTGCAGGCTATTTCCCAGCAGGGGAAGCACTAGAGGCAACCAAACATTTATGTTTCTCTCCCTCTCTCCTTCCCCTCTAAAGATAAATAAGTAAAATCTTCAAGAAAAATTAGGGCACTTCTCCTGTATTTTCAGTTCCTGGTGCTCACCTCTATTCCTGTCTTTATCAAACAGTATGGCTGTTACCTCTGTGTCCTTTTTTCCTAGACTATGACCGACTGGAGGGCAGGAATGACGTCTGCTCCATCACTGTATCCACAGCTCTTGTACAGAGCCTGGCATCTAACAGATTCTTAATACAAACTACTTGAACTGAAACGAACTTGAACCCTGGGAGAAGTCACTTAGAGGCAAACAGGAGGAGGTAGTAGTAGTTTCTACAACAAATTATAAGCACAATTCTCTATCAGTAAAATGAGTGAGACAGAAGAGATGATTCTTGGATCACTCAGCTTTAAAATTCCATAATCT